AGGGAACTGAATTCAGTAATCGTGCGCAGTCTGAGAGGCGCTTTTCTGTGTGCGTGATTCAGGTGTGTGCGCTCAGAAAACCAGACTGAATTGAGTTATCTTTTGCATCGTCACACTTTTCAAATTTATGCCCATGTCGGCTCTTCTCTTACTCCCAGATGTTGACATTTTTTAACGTTTTATGAGACGTGCAGCAAGTGTATGCTAGCTTATGTCCCGCCGGAAAAATCAGTTGGAGATTCATTCTGATTGGATCTCTTCCCGAATCGTCCCTCCCAAACATTTTTGTCTTGTTTTTATTAGTTGACGGAAATGTCAATAGATTTGTCATAGTTTTTGTCATTCAAAAACTATTATTTCGAGTTTTATTTCATTATCGTCTCGTTTTCATCTGTGAAAAAAATGTTGTTGACGAAAATTATGATGGAAATTATGTCAACAAAATTAACACTGTTTCCAATGAAAAACCCAAAATAATAGCTAAATGGTCTCTGCTTACATGGACTATGAACAGGTGCTCAATGTAAGCACTACGGAATGCAAAACAAAGGAAACAAAGTAAGGAAACAAAGTAGCAAAATAAACCCAAGTAAAACTAAACATATGGTAGATAGATAGTTCCTGCTACCTGTCAACACTTATGGTGCAGAGTCAGCCAGGTGCACAGAGAAGAGAAACTTAGGATGGGTACATACCACACACAGAAGCAACACATATTTATTTTGGAGCCCACATTAACAGGTTACAGTTCACAATGACCACACAAGCAGTGTGCAAGAAGAGTTTCATTGCTGAGCTTATTTTTACCATGCTTTGTGCTCTAAACTTAGCAGAAAACACTTTGAGAATGCATAAACCTAAGAACAATGTACTGCAATTTAGGCTATCATGAAGAAAAAAAAGGAGCAAATAAGTCAGTGACTCATTTACTCATTTATAAGTCAATTAATGTTTTTTTTTTAATTCACTGAAAAAGTCTATAAGGTTTCGCAATACTTCAACAAATCAGCCAATTTATGCCGTTTATATTTTGCACTTTATGACAATCAAGTTTGTAATGATTCTCAACTGCCAAGTCAAATTAACCATTTGTTGGAGATATTGAAAGTAAACCCCAGTCTAATAACCCAGAAATTGATTTATTTTCACTTCACTAATGCACTAACTGCATTTGCAATATGAAACAGGCTTTAGGGAGTAAAAAGTGCTGTGCTCTGCCACCTGACAACAAGGCCTTATGCAAATGCAACAGGAACTGTAGTGTATCTAAGACACTATCAAACCTATTCATGACAAGCCTATTTTAAACGCTCTGGAAGGCTTATTGTTCTTAAAGTGACCATAAACCATAAAGCATCTGGAAGACGGCACGGGCATAATAGGTCTTCAGAATCACTCAACTTGATGCTTGCCACTGAATCTATTCATTGAAAATCCAAACTGCAGAGAGCCATGATAGCAGGTGTGATCATGCCTAGCAAAAATAAATAAACTGCCAAAGTGACTGAATTTAGATGAGCAGCTACGATAAAGGATTTTTTTTTTTTTGGCTCTAAACTCAAGGGAGTCACAAATACTTTTTTATTTTCTATACTGTCTAGTTTTGTCTGATAGCAACAGAACTATGCTAGATCCAAAATCTTGTTCCTAAAATGCCAGTCAAGCTAACACAATGATCCTACACCACCTGATTCGATGCTCATCTGTCTACCCAAATTCAAGCTTCATCTGCTTACAGCCCCTGAAAATAACTGAAGTTTCAAGATGACTGTGAGCTAAAAGTTGTGCTTCAATGTCTCATTGACTAACAACGAGTGTTAGGGGTAATTATACTATCATCTATTATTATTAACATTACCTGCAAATGCGACATTACTGTTACATGTTGACTGAATAATAATGGAAAAAACGTATGTTCATGTTCCATTTGAGAGGCATTTCATGATAATCAAGAGGAATACTGAATTCAGCAACAGTGGCTACGTTTACATGCAGCCAAATAATCCGTTTGTAATCGGATTGACGGCTCAATCGGACTGCGTAATAACGTATGACGCACGGGACGAGCGGCTCTTCCTTTTGAATAAAGTGTTGTATAAATGCATGTCCTGTCATTATAAAACTCTCCTTTCACTCGGCAACTGTGAAGTGGAGCAGGACTCTGCTATCATTCTACTCTGCTATCATTGAGTCTGTCCTGTGTTCATCCATAACTGTCTGGTTTGGTTCAGCAACCAAATCAGACATCAAGAGACTACAACGGACAGTCAGGACTGCTGAGAGGATTATTGGTGTCCCTCTGCCCAGCCTCCAAGATCTTTACATCTAACAAATAAATAAACTGTGTAGGAGAGTGGTTATTATGTGCAAACATTGAGAAACTCTATATTTGTGCAGTGTGCGCATGTCAAAAAAAATACTTCCGATTTGAAGCTTGTGACATATAAACGCGCACATCAACCCGATCACTTTCTTTAACGTTCATGTAAACACTAAATTCAGATTCATCAATCGGAATGAATTGAGTCCGATTGAACCAAAAATTGTGCATGTAAACGTAGCCACTGTTCAAATCAATCTGCATTGCATTACAAAATGTAATCCAAGCAAGTATGCAATAATAATGCAATACATACATTCTGAGTGTTAGGAATTGCAGAGTGCAACATTGCATGTAACGAAACTTAGTCCATGCATTAGCCTATGTCAGTCCAAACCTGTTTTGGTACAATCCAGGCATAGATATTCATTGACATTATGAATTTGCTTTAAACAAAGTACAAATCAGCGGTAATCCACTATGATTAAATGCATTTCTGATTGCTTTTGCTTCATCTAAATTCCTCTAGAAACAAATTGGGGCCTGTGGTAAGCGAGGAGTGCAACAGGATGAGTCTGAGCCTCTGACGTCAAGGATAAAGAACTTTCACAGAGAGCTCTGTACCTAAATGAGAGATGAAGTGGAAAATATAATGGGTGACAGGGTGTAATAGAGAGATCTATTGCATCTACCTCATTCGCTCCCCACCCCTATCTCTACCAAGGAGAGTAATTACATAAGAAAAAAAAGGAAAAGTTTAAATGGCCCCTTCAATATGAGTGTGCTCACATATTATTCTGTTCTGATTAGGCATGAATATTCTGAGGGGGCTTGCTCGAGTCATTTCTAATGGCAGCAAGAGCATACTGATGAATTCATACAGACACTTTCACCTCTACAAAGCCTTGATTGGGCCTAAAGATCAGAGCAGCCTGATTTGAATTCACTTAAACAGTCTGAAAAGATACAAAAGTGCTCAAGACAAAAGTTGAGTTGATTTTGATCGACGTCAGTTAACATGCACTAATGAAAACACATGACCCACACTATTCAAGTCCATTCAGCCAGGCTATCTGTAACTTGAAAGGCACTTTCATGATCTATGAACCAGACAGCAGTGTTACTGACTTGGCCTTCCTGGAATTTTGGAAATCTTGGAACAAGCCTTTCAGGGGGTTGATTAAAGTTAGTTACTAACCTCAAATGCACACCAGTCACAAGTTCGGACACACTACTCATTATTCACTGCCACTTTTTCTACATTTAAGAAAAAGTGTCACCTATTAAATAACACAGACTTAAGTATGGAAATTACGCTTTTTATTAGTATTGAAGGAGCTCTTATGCTGGACACTTGCTGCTTTTCAATAATTGGACAAATTAAAAAGCTATAATTTATAAAAAACTAAATAAATAAAATTTGTAAAGAAATTAAGCACTTTTTTAAGATCACAAGAAACAAATGTAGTCAAGTGTGTCCAAACTTTTGACTGGTATAGCAAAAAAACGAAATCCAAGCTGAGCAATCGATTTGATTCACAGAAAGGTTGCATAAACATAATAAACCTATGGTCGCGTCACACAGTTAAAAACTTGACACTTCCCGACACTTCCCAACACTTCCCAACACATGCTCGTGATGAGTAAGAGGGAACAGCCTGGGTCTAAAAATCACACAAACCACACCTGTTATAGCTAACAAACATGAACATTCGCCTCTGCTCAATCACCCTCCCGAGCGAGAGACTGTTTTTGACACAACAGGCAACCCACGTACATGTGAGGTGATTTACTATGCAACACCACGGTTTGTGGGAAGACAGGCCAAATAATACAGAAGAGATTAATCTAAACCTAAGGGGAAGGTTATGTCACATCATACAAACTCTGCTTTTAGGGCAGCTCGTTTTGCTGAAGGCTGCCAACAGCTTGCTCTTCCTTCATGTATCATTCTGATAACCAAAGCAAGGCTTGAACATTTTAACACATGCTCTCACAAGATCACCAGACACTTGGAACATGCCTACAACACAATGCAATGCATCCAATCTTCAATCAGCCCAACTAATAAATATTAGTGTATATTTAAAAAAACAAACCAAAATAACTATATTTTAATCATATAATAAAAGGGGGGAAATGACTGATTAGAACTGGCATCATCATAAAATTAACCCAATGTGTTAAAACACAGTTATGCTCATTTTCTTTATAACATGAACAGAAGTGTCAAAGTTTTCACATAAACTCAACTACGCTTATATGATGCATTCTAAACATCTCTCGAGTTTAGTGCATTGCTGCATTGAAACAACTGCCTATTTACATGATTGTTCAAATTGAAATGCACATATGTATATGTGTATATGCATATGCACGTCTTTTCCTCACACCCCATATGAAGTATAATGCAAGTATGAGCAGAGCTCAACCTGATTTTACTAACTGATCAATTTAGCTGGGTTAATTTGAACGATTAATTTTAATAATACTATCAATTCCAAGACTAATGCGGGGACAAACTAGGCCTATATCATGAATCGATATTTCAAACAACTGTTTGTTTATGAATTATTTATAGGCAGTGCGCAATTAGCGCACGTACCAAATGTTCAGCTCTTTCTCTATATATATCAATCTTTAATACCTGTGGGTTAAGATTAAACTAGATTTTTCTTACCTCATGGTGATTTCCACGATATATGTTCGATGTTATATAATTTCAGAGAGTTCACAAAGTTCGCACTTGATCACAAAAGATATGAATGAAACGCCGCAGGACCAGAGAGTTTGTATCCCGCAAAGTAAAAAATAAATAAAAATGAAAGTAAATAAAAAAAAGAACTCGGTCTACATGATCTACCGCATTGCACCGCTTATGTGGATGCTGCAGCACAAAAAAAAATGTAAGTGAGAACGCAATTTTCTGTTTGGTCTTGCAAGCGCCTGATCTTCTAATAGCAGCAACGTGCCGCTGGGATCCCCATCTACAGCAACAGCAGCGACGCAGCGCTTTACTGGGCTACGTCACCACGCAAGAGACGCACAGGTCACGCCCCCATATGGTAGTTTGACAGTATTTAGAGCACACAAATTCTTGATAAGTAAAACGGAAATTAATAAATTAATTTACGCAAATGAGAAGTCAGTATTAGCAAAATGTTAACATACAGCATTATAAATGCCAGTGCATAGTTTTTCCAGCAAAAATAAAAATAATAAATAATAATAAAAGACTATATTTGATAGCGCATTTGATAATATTCATTCAAGTCTTATCACCATATTAAGATGCTTGACAAGTGTATGTCATTTGACTACGATCTGTGTAGTGTCACCTGTTCATAAAAAGAACCAATAGTGTGCTTGCTTTGATGGCAGTAAGGGATATGATGGTTCATCACAATTGTTCAAACCATGTGACTTAAGCAGGGTTAAACCCCCACATCTCAGTTACTAGATCAACTGTCACTCATGCATCTCCGATTCTGAACTGTGGTACTTATATGGGTTTATACAGTGGGTATAGAAAAGAATTACCCCCTTTAAAATAATAAAATTTTGTTGCTTTGCAGCATGAAATAAAGATGGACACAGTTTTTCTTTTATCCAATATGTATATAAATGCAGCAGCTGTATTTACTCAGTGCAACTTATAACAGCCAAGTGAAACATATAACACCAACATGTCAGAAAGAAAAAAAAACTGAATCACTGAGTTGGGTAAACGATCACCCCCCCTCCTAAAAAGGACTTGTAAACTCAATCAGTTGTAGCTAATCACCTTCTCAATGGATAAAAAAATTCAAAGGCTTTATCAATGCCTAGAAGCAGAGTGAAGCCTATTATTAAGAAGTGGAAGGTGTTTGGTACAACACAGACCCTCCCTGGATCAGGATGTCGCTCCAAACTTGATGAAAGAGCCAGGAGGAAACTGGTCAGAGAGGCGACCAAGAAGCCAACAGCAACTCTGAAGCAGTTGCAGGAATTCATGACAAAGAGTGGTCATTGTGTGACAACATCACAAATTCTCCACAAATGTGACTTGTATGGGAGGGTTACAAGAAAAAAGCCACTCCTCAAGAAAGGCCACATGCAGTCACGACTGAGCTTTGCCAAAGATTCTGAGGCAGATGAGACTAAAATTGAATTATTTGACCTCAACACCAAACAATATGTCTGGCGGAAATCCAATACAGCTCACCATCCAGATAACACCATTCCTACAGGAAAGCATGGAGGTGGTAATATCCTGTTAAGGGGTGTTTCTCTGCAGCAGGGACTGGAGCACTTGTCAGGATAGAAGAAAAAATGGATGGGGCAAAATACCGTCACAAACGGTCACCATCAAATTTAACTGAACTTGAGCAGTTCTGCAAAGAAGAGTGGGCAAATATTGCAAAGTCTAGATGTGCAAAGTTAGTAGAGACAGAGACATATCCCAACAGACTAAAGGTTGTAATTAAAGCAAAAGGTGGTTCAACAAAATACTGACATAAGGGGGTGATCCTTTTTCCAACTCAGTGTTTCTGCTTTTTTTTTTTTTTTTACATGTTGGTGTTATATCTTTCATTTGGATGTTATTAAGTTGCACTGAGTAAATACAGCTGTATAAAACAAAAACTGTGTCCGTCTTCATTTCAGGCTGCTAAGCAACAAAATGTGATTATTTTAAAGGGGCGTGGTTCTCTTCTATACCCACTGTATATGTGGCTTGGGTATATGACTGAAGGAAAAATGAAAGGGCTATCATTTGGAATACAATTTCAAATTTTGTGTAAAATGCAACTTTGGAAAAGTCTACACTGCCATCTACTGGTGCGCTCTTATACAGTTTAGTACACATGCATATTTGAACAAAACATTCTCGTGCTTTAGTCCCAGGACCCCTGTATAGTTTTATCCGTCCCACAACTGTATCAGTCATGTCATTGCTTTTTAGACCATATTTAGTGGCTAATACAGTGTTTAAGTTATGCATTCTACGCGCAATGTACATCTCTTTGAACTCACGTGTCGTTCAAGTAAGTTCTAAAAAAGAACACATTAACAACCATTAACAATTTGCTTACATATTGCAAGACAACTACGCTCAGTTTCATAGATAAATATTATATAATGTATAACAGTTCTAATATATTCCTCTAGGACTCTCTTTATACATCAGTATAGCAGTCGCTCACCGGCCGTTTACGGGAAAGTTTGTAGCTAGTACTTGGATAGGACGAGACACAAAGTTGTGTACCAGCAGGGGGCGCATGGGGCTCAAAAAGCCCCCGAAAATCATCTTCTGAGCCGCATTCAAATCACAGGACGTTTTGAGTCTTAACTGGATGCATTTGTAACTAGCACGTGTTTTAATAGTTTATCTGTTATTCTAAGGGACATGTAACTAACATAACTACTGAACTCTGATTTAACAATTACTATAAAAATGATTTTAAATACAGTCATCACAAATACTATGATTGATCCACCCAGACCAGCGCTGCGAAATGAAACAAGTATCACGTGATAGTGATGTTCGATTCTTGAACGAATCGTTCTTTTGAACCGGTTCTCAGGAAGTAACCGGTTGAGCCGGTTCACAAAATCGAACTGAATCGAACTTTAGTTCCGGGTTGATGACGCAGGACGCACAGCCGAAGTAGCACGTCCGACTCAAAAAGAACCGAATCTCCGAAAAGAACCGGTTCGCGGAAAAGAATCGAACTTTGCATCACTACCACGTGACAACGCAGCCATTAAGCTCCGCCCGTCTTTCGACCCTTTTCACGCTGGTCATTCCACAAGCGCATTCTATTCCTATGAACCAATCACGATCCTCAAATCCGACACGTCTCAGTGTGCACGTTTTCTATTGGCCCGTTCAGCCGCCTACCAATCAGAGTGCGTGTTTCTACGACTGAAGGTGGCCATATTTTATGCCACCTGGGTTTTTGCTTCAAACAGCTGTATTTTGCTACGCTGTTAAAATATTTAATAAGATACCCTTTATTTAGTGTTTATTACACAATGCCTTATTATCAGACGTGGGAAGAGTTTGCGCGAGCTGCAGAAAAACTTTATTTGACGGACCCGATGAAGGTAACTGATAACCTCTTATCTGAGGTTATTTTGAGGCTACTGGCTACAAGCACAGCTCATGTTCACATATTTTACAATCAAACAGCATTTTTGTGGAAATGTGTTGTAGAGCAAATTCGATATGTCGTCGGTGCGTAAAATATATAATATGTATATATGCGTCTAAATGCAACTGTCCGGCAGAGAAAGGCTGCAGTATTAAAGCTTGAAATGTACAAATGTATCGTAACTGTTTGTTAATGTTGTTTATTCAGGTCAGAGTGGTTCTGAAATATCGACACTGTGATGGAAATATCTGTATGAAAGTCACAGATGATGCTGTGGTAAGTTTTGAGCTCTTGCAAATAGACTATTTTGTTTGTGGTCTTGTGTAGATCATGTTATTATATTCACTATTTGTTTTCTTTCAGTGTTTGCAGTACAAAACCGACCAGGCCCAAGATGTAAAGAAGATCGAGAAACTGCATGGGAAGTTGATGAGATTAATGGTCTCCAAAGAGTCCCACAGTGGAGCCATGGAAACGGACTGAATGAATCAAAGGACCTTTCGGGATTGGACAGTTGTTTGTAACTCAATCCGACTGACAATGAAAAGAGATGGATCTACAGGAGGATGAAGTTTGGGTGATGTTTATTGACTGTATACTGAGAATACAGTCTCGTTTGAAGAGCAAGCAGCGAGAACATCCTAAAAGAGGCTGATTTTTGTGTTCCTGTTTGGAGGTCGGACAACGTCGTAATGATTATACAGCTGTTTTCATTTGGTCTGCCTATTATTTAATGTTTGGAGAAAGTACGTTTTAACTGCGACAACATCAAGAGAACACATTTTGAAGCAGGACCTTCTTAATATCTTAGATTACAATAAAATCCCAGTCCTGAAGTTTGTATATCTATGCATGATGTACAATGAACCAAAATAAATGTCTCTTTTTTTTCCTTTTTTTTCTTATTTCATTTTACTCTACAAGCATTACTGTCTACAGACAAATAATGAGTGTCTTTAAAGATAATTTGAAAAGCAATTATCATCAATTGTTCTGTTTATTTCAATATTTGGCAATATGCTTCTGTCCAAAAAAAAACAACTGTGTTTTTCTTAAGATTGAGAACAGTTGTGGAGTGAAGGGTGTCAGTTTTATAACAACTAAAACTACTCCAAGTTCCCAAAATTGTAACATAGTTTTTGAACTATTTAAAGCTTTGGTTTTGTATCTATTGAAACTTCTGTATTGGTTGATAGATACAATTTATTGTTCACAGGAAATCTGGCCTACCTGCTTAGGATGACCTACCAGTAGTTTATCCCCTTAAACTGTCATGTTTAAAATAGCAACTTGGGTTCCTCAGGCGGACAAAAATCTTGTGAGGATGTACAGCCACAGTGGTAAATGTTAAAACATGGATGGCACATGTTGCCATGCAGAATAAACCTCTCTGTATACGCTACAACCATGGACAGCGTATTTTGTGAGTAGGCCATCCTGAGCAGGAAGATTTTTTTTTCAGCGCTGTCATCGTTCTTTAAGGTAAGTAACATACACAAATGTTATTATGACACCAATATGTTAGTTTAACAAAGTAACTGATATGTGAAACATTAGTGTATTACCTCAGAAAACGCCCTCCTGTCAGTCTCACTGAGCGCGCGCTGCTCCTGTCAGCTGTAACGGGTAAAACTTGTCTCGTGCGTCCATTCAGTTTCTACCATACACAAAGTCATATCACAAATTACCATGGTGCAATTACGTTTTCTTTTGGTTACATTTTTAATGTTTTTATTTCTTGAACATTTTATTGCAAAAGGTTATTTATTACCTAATTACAATCAAAAGTTTGTTTGGTGTGTATTTATTTTGTACTACAATAAAACCACGACTATTATCTGAAAGAAGTAACTAATTTTACATAACAGAATTACAGAAATGTATCCGTTTTCCACGGTAAAAGGGAGCGTGCGCAGATTATTATGTGACTACATTTCCCATGGTGCACGGGGATAATGTTTCTGCGTCTTGGTGCTAAACGATCGCAGCTTACTTTGCTACTTATTGAGGTGAGTGTGCTTCATGTCTGGTGTTTTTAATCATTACGTTTTTGCAAAATTAAGCTAGTTCGTTCATTAAGATTAATCTAAAGCAACAGCATATCAAATGGTTAGCGTGTTGCTATAGCACGATCTGTACATGTGTAATTCTGATTATCACATCACTGGTTATGCAACAACGTCCTCGTTCAATAAGTTTATTAAGGTAAATGCAATTAAGAAGTAACTTCTGTGCATGCTATTTTAGCTATGTGGTGGCTCATAAATTTTTTTGTTCTTTGTGTGACTACATTTCCCATGGTGCACGGGGATAATGTTTCTGCGTCTTGGTGCTAAACGATCGCAGCTTACTTTGCTACTTATTGAGGTGAGTGTGCTTCATGTCTGGTGTTTTTAATCATTACGCATTTTGCAAAATTAAGCTAGTTCGTTCATTAAGATTAATCTAAAGCAACAGCATATCAAATGGTAAGCGTGTTGCTATAGCACGATCTGTACATGTGTAATTATGATTATCACATCACTGGTTATGCAACAACGTCCTCGTTCAATAATAAGTTTATTAAGGTAAATGCAATTAAGAAGTAACTTCTGTGCATGCTATTTTAGCTATGTGGTGGCTCATAAATTGTTTTTTCTTTGAAGAAAAAGACTGAAAAAGAGTTATTATTGTCTTACTAGAATTCCACAAATTATTTAGCCTTAAATTAATTATTCTGATATTTAAAAAACTGTTTATATAATTTGTTTGTGCAGAAAAAAGTAATATGTCCGATGAGGTTATAATATTTTTGTGAATAATACATAATTAAAAGAACAGCCCACATTCTGACATTCCTGTTTACAGGGTATTTAGTGTGCTTTGGGAGTTAGACAGAGAAGAGCTTTGTCATGCATTGTGCCCCAAATGTTGTAACCACAGAGCTTTGTCCATCCTAATCTCAGTGCTGGGAATGTTGTGCAACAATAAACCTTTGCTCCATTTTCCTGCATGCATGCATTAAAAGCACATTGCCTAGTGGTTGTATAAAAGGTTCAAACTCTGCAAGGGGTGATCCATGAGCTAACTATCGTCATTTCTACCTTGAGCAAGGCACTCCAGCTTACTCCAAGGAGATAAAAATGTTATTTGCTTCATTCCAGGGCCCTAAACCATGTACAAAGAGTTGGCAGTGGCATTGGGGCTCGGAACGTTGGTAGCCCTGGTATTCCTGAAGAAAAGAAAGGGTGTCCTGAAAGCACATGACGGGTGGTGGGGTGTGGGAGCTTGTCCCCAAGGACCCGAGGATGATAGTATCCGCCCTTTCAAAGTTGAGACAACTTCAGAAGAGATTGAGGTAAATCCTGATGTCATCATCTGAATAAAATTTCATATAGATGTTTCACTGGAAATACATTTGGTGTGTATTTTGTCTGTAGCAAAATCTCCTTTATAATCCTTAGGATCTACACCGCAGGCTAGATCAGACCCGCTCCTTTCCTTCTCTTGAAGACAGTCAGTTTAACTATGGCTTCAACTCCAAATACCTTGAGAAGCTTGTGTCTTATTGGAGGAATGATTTTAACTGGAGGAAACAAGTGGATAAACTGAACAAATACCCTCATTTCAAAACCAAAATCGAAGGTGAGCCCTGACTAGTACACAGCTATAGTAAAGGTGTGGTCACATTAACGAAATTTCAGCAAAAATTCTGCATGAACAAAAAAGTATGCAAAACTTAATCCAGATTTCATGTAGATCATTAAAAATTTCGCAGAGCAATGGTAAATGCATTGATGTTTTGGAGCTATTCAGCATTACATCACGTTTATAAATGGATCATCTGCAGTGAATGGGTGCCGTCAGAATGAAAGTTCAAAGAGCTGATAAAAACATCACAATAATCAAGTACCGTATTGGCCCGAATATAAGACGACCCCCCTTTTTTCAGATGTCACACAACTCCAGTCCATCAATTAACATCTTGTGAAAAGCTGTTTTGATTTTTTTACTTTAAACCATCCAGTGAGGTTTACCTGCACAGCACTTACCAGTTGGCCTCCATTACACTCACCCCCCTAAACCTCACTCCCATCTAGGTCATGGTGCCAATGTAACACCTCCGGTCCCAACCGCCCCGCTCTGAGCAGAACTCAAACCTGGGTCACCGGCATGAAAGGTGTGTGCACTAACAAGGATGCTAAAGACCACAGCTTCTAGCATCAGTCACTAGTGTGCCTCTTGAGATCAGGGGAGTGAGGTTTACCTGCACAGCTCTTACCAGCTGGCCACCGTTACACTTGAAGTTAAAAAACATCTTGAAAAATGTGCTTCTTACAAAGCTTTTTGCTTCAAGACATTAATTGATCAACTGGAGTCATGTGGATTATTGTGATGTTTTTATCAGCTGTTTGAACTCTCATTCTGACGGCACCCATTCACTGCAGAGGATCCATTGGTGAGCAAATGATGTAGTGCTAAATTTCACCAAATCTGATGAAGAAACAAACTAATCTACATCTTGGATGATCTGAGGTTGAGTCAATTTTCAGCAAATGTTTATTTTTGGGTGAACTGTTTCTTTAAGAACTACATTTTTTTTAAGAAGATGCTTATGTTTTGCGCACATTTTATAGTACTCCACAACTGATTTCATTTTTGTTTTGTGTTGTGGTGTTCTCTATAACAAAAGGTATTGATATTCACTATGTTCACGTGAAACCAAAGAGCCTGGCTGAGGGAACCCGTGCTGTGCCTCTGATGATGGTACATGGATGGCCAGGCTCCTTCTATGAGTTTTATGGTATCATCCCCCTGCTTATGGAGCCATCCAGTCCTGATGACATTACTTTCGAAATAATTTGTCCCTCAATACCTGGTTATGGTTTCTCAGAGGCCCCACATAAAAAAGGTAAAGGGCAAACAACCCAACCTAACAGATATTTTGTTTCAAACACATGTGGATTAGTCTATTAAATATTTTCCATGTTTTGCATTTTTTTAATGATCAAAATGTGTTTTGCACAGGTTTTGACGGTGTATGTGCAGCACACATATTCAATAAACTGATGAAGAGGCTTGGTTTCAACCAGTACTATGTCCAGGGAGGAGACTGGGGCTCGCTTATTACCACTAATATGGCCCAGCTGGAGCCCAAGTATGTATAAAAGTAGTGGTTCTTGACCTTTTTTACTCCAAGGCCCCACTTTATCCAAAACATTTAAGTCCCCCTGGGAAGTTGGGATGTAATTACATTATTAGATGCATTCAGTTTGAAGCAAAATGGCATTGTAGCTTTTATACAAAAAAAAAATATATATCATAAATTTAAAAAAAATTAACTCTAATTCTACAAAATGATGAATAAGGAATGCACAGCTGGATTTTATTCAATTTATGAAGCTATAATTGCGTAATACCGAAGTATTTTGAATGCAAGTGTTAGATAATTTTATTGTAAATAGAATAGAAAACAAATGAATTAATTTCAACCAATTTGCCATCAATACAGTTGCTGCATCTATTGCGTTCCCCATATTTTCTCACTGACATGCCCTCTACTCGGAAACTCTGGCCTTAAAGAAAGTTCCGACACTCCGGTGGTGTTCATGTGGGTTCAATCTTTTCAACATGACTTGAATGCACTAAAGATTTGAAGACCCTTTTAAAGCTGATATTTACCTTTGGTTCTTAATATAGGGCTGGGCGATATGACGATATTATCGTATATCGACGATGTCTCGTAAGTAGCCTATTGCGATGTCGATGTCAACAGTTAGGTAACAGATGATTATCGACATTATTGGAAAAAAATGACAAATGATAAACCTAGTAAGTTGCAAAAAATATTTTACATAGCCCCATAGTCACCATACAGGTCTTTTTGCATGCAAGAATGAAATAATTTAGTCGAAGGGTTGGGAATCGAAAAGCTATTCCAGTTTCGGAAATCAGATCAGATGCGTAAGGTCAGGAATCAAATTACTTGTTATAAAATAAAATTTCGATTCTGCTTCTCGATTTCTGTATGCACATTTATTGTGATTTCAAAAGATTCAACTGCAAGAAGACGAAATAGAACTCACTTCTGCACTCGCGGCTGTTTTCTGTGCTGCGCACACACACACACACACACACACACAAAAGCTGCCTCTTAATTAACTAATTAAGACCAAACTGAACATGGTGTGTGTTTATTGTGCATGTCGGCAATGTTGTCTCGGCGGGGCGGGGCATGGTGGAGGTGGGGCTTAAGTAGACGATATTATCGGAGATCACGATATTTTTAAAGGCGATTATCGATAAGATATTTTTGATATATCGCCCAGCCCAAATTTAATAAAAAATAAATTAACTCAAAAATATTAATGTTATACATTTTTATTTATTTATTTGGTTTTGTTTGTTTTTAAGAATTGTAAAATTATTAATTAAATTAAAAAAATTGTTAAAATAACTGTATTTAAATAATTTTAAGAGTTATTGGGGCCCCTGGTTGAGAACCACTGTATTCTAGTATTTCATCACATTGAAATCCTCAGATAGAAGTAAATTAAAGTCAGCTATATTAAAGGAAGATAATGTGTATAGAAATAAACCGATTTCAAGTACTTGAGAGATTTTAAGGATTTTTGTTGTACATCTTTGTTTTCCTCAGTGCTGTGAAAGGCCTCCACATTAACTTTGCTCCTCCAGGAAAAGCAGGCCTTCTCATGATGTTGTCTATACTTTTTGGTCGCCGATTTCCCAAACTCTTTGGCTTCACCGAGCATGATGTGAAACGCCTTTTCCCCACTATGGAAAAGCTTGTAGTTGACGCAATAAGGGAGACTGGATACATGCACATACAGTCCACTAAACCTGACACTGCAGGTGAGAGACATGTGTGCATCTTTAAATAGACAACAGACTTTGATTTGAAGCTTGACTGTATTGCACAGGCCGTGGATTGAATGACTCTCCCGTTGGTTTGGCTGCCTACATTTTGGAGAAATTTTCAACCTGGACTGATCCTGAATTCAAGAACCTTGAGGATGGTGGACTGGAAAGGTAGTCATATTTGATTTCAGCTTTATTGTAGGTTGGTGAAGTGTGTGTTCAGTTAAATCATGTTGATTCCCCAACAGGAAGTTTTCTCTTGATGATCTTCTGACGAATGTGATGATCTACTGGACCTCTAGGTCCATTATATCCTCCATGCGTTTCTACAAGGAGAACTTCAGCAAAGGCCTGAATCAGCCACATGCAAAGTAAGAGAAATACAGGCTTTGATTAACATTACGTGAAGCTGTATTTTCTGTTCAATACTCATCAGTATTGTGTTCCCTTAAGTATTTAGAGACATTTGGGCACTGAAATTGGGGCTATGTGTAAATATGTGCACCACTGTCTGGGATTGGAAAATAATTTTGATGTATTTTGAAAGAAGTTATTTTGTACTCATCAAGGATGCATTTATTTGATGAGCAATAAATTAGAAACTGTAATATTGTAAATTTAATGCAATGCAATTTAATGCATTAACTTCTGGAGTAAAAAAATAAAATAAAATCTTACTGACCCCAAATTACAATGCAAAATCGCTACATTAGTATGCTGTGTCTCTTTTTACCCAATAGGCTTCCAGTTTATGTTCCGTCAGGTGTGGCCTCTTTCCCCAATGAGCTGATGCACTCCCCTAAATCGTGGGTGACACAGAAATACCATAAGCTCAAGACTTATACTCCCATGGCTCGCGGGGGACATTTTGCTGCTATGGAGGAGCCGCAGTTACTGGCAGAGGATGTTCAGAGCTTTGTCAAGATTGTGGAAAAGAGAAAGAAGAAATAAATAGTTATCTGTCCTTTTTTTCATATTCATGGGCTAATGGAACTCACGGTTTAGATGCATAGATAAATGCATCTAAACAGAGATGACCATGAAGTAAAAAACAACAAATGTATTACATTCATTTTTAGATAATAGCACTGTTTAATCCTAGGAATATATTAACACAATTTTATATTTGTAGCATGTGCCTTAGTTTTATTGCAATTTTAAATGATTATATAATGACAGGAGCTTGCTTTAGACATATTTCACTGATTATGATGATTTAATGCTAATGTTAAACTGTATGAAATGATAGTCAATCCTTTATGAAAGTGCAGTTATTGAATGATAATGATGATATGTGGCAATGACTCAAATTACAAAAGACAGTCGGGAAGACATTTTTATTGTTATCAAGACAAATTTTATTTCATTTTCTCATTACAAACATTTAATCAAGAGGAAAATTGAGTGTTCGTGATTTAAAGTAATGCCCACTAGAGTGGCTAAGTATATCTGTTCCTCTATTCTGCATTAATCTACATAAATAAAGGTATCATCGCTATAGATGCTCTGCTGGCCAATGCAACTGCCTCTTTTTCACATAATGGAAAGTTCTTGGCAAGAACTTTCATGACCAATCAAATAAAGAGACACTAAGTGAAGGCACGACCAAAGCAATGAAGCTGGTCAGACTCCATTGCTTATGGTTTTCTGGAATGCATATTTGGGAAAATAAAATAGGTAAACTTCTATAAAAAAATAAATATTCTCATAATATTTATATAAACAAATATTATGTATCGAAATATTTATTTTTGCACTTTTGAGAGTTGCGCTTATATAAAATGAGTATTTAAAAATATCATAAAAAACAATTCTCACAGTACAGTTCAGTGTTTTTTTTTTTTTTTCCCCACATAGGCCCCCAAGGTTGATTCTCTTAGGGTTACACAGTTTTAGATTGTAGGACAGCATAGTTTATAATAGGTCGATCCCTGCCTGTGCCTTAACAATTTGTCCTGTTGTAGGCAGTTTTAAAATGTGCTTGTGATTTATTCCTCCTTTGATTGCTCACAGGGGAAATGCATTCTGAATTAAGACATTCTTAGGACAAAAAGAAATGATCAGTGGAACAATTCAGATGCAATATTTAGTCTGTAAATGCAAGTGCTCTGTACTATTAAAAATATGGGAGTTTTAAAGCATTTTGCACACATAATTCAAGTAATTTCAGGTATGACAGAATGCAACTCTACATGCAATCGATCCAATCTGACATACGGATATTATGACACTAATGTAAAAAAAAAAAAAAAAAAAAAAAGGAAGACATTCCAATTTTGATTTTCCCAAAA